ATGCTCAAACCAACAACAGACAACCTGCAATAATTTACATCAATACACAACCCAACTAGCTTTCAACATACAACAATTCAAGGTAAAGTGGCCTCCGGCCTCCAGTAACAGCCTAACATGGGCGATAACAAAGCATCTAACAGAATTTGATTACAACAACAGCAGAGTAGAAGGAATTTACACGAACCCTATCTACAGATGAAATGTTTGGAGCTCGCAACTTGCTTGAGCGCTTCCAAAAGCCACTACTGCCTGGGGGGCGCAAAACGGAAATATGTGAGTGGACAAAAATAAAGTTTGCATTTAAAACAACATAGTAACCCCACCGTGTAAAAATAATGCTCAAGCATGCAGTCTCCACATCCATAAATCAAATACTCAAACACAAAGTCTCAAAATCCAATAGCTCTCAAAAATCTCAAACCACAACTCCATTCCCAAAAGTATGCAACTCTCACCAACCCATACATATGTATATATATATATAAGTATAAATATATCTATAATATAACGTATACTTCTCTCCATACTACTGTACCGGGGAAGACAATCCAACCGGGGGATTGTTGGCTGGTACGCAGGATTTTCGAACATGAACCCGCGTCCAGGGATGAGTAGTCCAACCGGGGGACAGAACTCCATAGCTCACACGCCGGCACTGCCAACGCCACGTGTAGCTCACAAATCTCATATCTCATATCAAGTCCTACGCGCGCAGACAGTATCATCCCCACACCGGCACTGCCAACGCCATGTGTGATGATACTAAGCAATATACATACTCTTCCCATACACCGGCACTGCCAACGCCATGTATGAGAACAGCAAATCTCAGGCCCTCCCCACCACACCGGCACTGCCAACGCCATGTGTGGGAAGCCTAGTAACCAGGGAATGGTACTCACCTAACATACTCATACATCTCACAACCATCCCTCAAATCATATCTTTCCACAATCTCATAACAACAACTCCTCATACTCCGTACATAGCACAATCTCACCACATCAACTCCTCATACTCTATACATAGGCAATATAGACAGATATCCCAAAATCCATAAAAACATATCCATAATACTCAAACATAGCCATACTCAAAATATATTGCCAATACCTATATGAATATCCAAATCCATCAACCAAATACTCAATAAATCACATTTACCATTTAAAAACATATGCACAAATCTTTTATCAATAAAACCATGCAAATGCTTGAAAACAAAGTCCACTCACAGGTAATCCCA